CCACAGTGCAAGGAGAAGTCTTGAGCAGAGGAAACCCTAACTGGATCTTGATCTTCAAAGGTCTTGTGATGAGAAAATGTTGAGGAAATGGGAGGGCAAATTTTGGGGTACAACACATAATATGATATAAATAACTAAAAACAGTAAAATAATTCTTGCGAGTTGAGTCAAATATACAATGCAATTTCGCGTTATCATGGACCTAAGGTATAAAACAAGTTCACATGCAAATAACAAGGTACATTCTCTAATCTCCATTTTCACTACACTCGTCTTAAATCATGAACTGGATTGGTGTTGGAATGCTAAACATGCATGTCCAGACCGCACTGATGTGATAGAGATCAGCACCACCGTTCAAGGGGAGCCTACAAAATTTGTTCTCTCTTTAAAAATAGTAAATTGTTTATCAAAATATTCGTATTTATTATGATAAAAGAAGATGAAGTATGTTAGAACCAAGTCTATCTAAAGACCAATTATCTATAATTTTGGTTTTCATGATAAAAAGTATAGAGAATTTTTGTTCTAACGCTTGTTTTAATGCACAAAATGTATTTTTAATAGTGCAATAAATCAAATCATTTTAAGAAGTAAATAAAATCAAGGCATAGTCTTTTAGTCCCTGTAAGTTTGCGTCTTTTTTATTTTCATCCCTGTATCTTTTTTCTTAAATGATTCCGGAATGTTAAAATTATTTTGGTTTTAGTCCCTAAAATTAAAACCCGCAGGAAAATTTGAAGGAAAATCCACAAGAAACTTGCAGATTTTCTTGCGGATTTTAGTTTTAGGGACTAAAACTAAATGAAATTCAACATTTAAAGACTTTATCTAAGAAAAAAAGATACAAGAACAAAAAACAAAAACACACCAACTTAAAGAGACCAAAAGACTATTTAAGCCTAAAATCAATAAAAGTTTTGCACTATAATTCCTTTAAAATAGTACAATGTATGCACAATATTCCTGCACAATAATACAATCTTTACAACAAACACATTTCTCAAGGAATATTGTCCCAACAATCATATTTGCACTAAAAAAGACTACAACACAATATAATAATACACAATTTTGGCTAAAAGAAAATAAAATACTATTGTATACTTCAAGTTTAAAATACTATTGTATACTTCAAGTTTAAAATACAAAGATCCAATTGAAATAAAATTTTATATGCTTTCTATTAGAAAAAATTTCAGTTGTATTCGAGCCAAAACTTTATAGTCTTTTTTTTAAGAGTTATCTTGTAATTACAAACGATTTCTATTCAAACGCAATGAAACCTCGAAGAATATGTTTAAGCCATAAGCTTTGAGAAGATAAACGACTCAGTGAATTCAAATTCTTTATGGAGAAATCTATAGTGTAGTCGGTTTGACGATATGTGCTAGTGGTTGGAATGAGTTAATTATAATGGCAAATTCTACAAGATTGAAGGGACTAAACATATCAATCTGATTGACGGTGAACTTTTATAAATTATTGTGTCACTCTCTCCTAATATATTTACTAATTTGTAAGTTCCTTTTCGTTAGTTAGTTTTCATTCTCATACAAGTTTTAAAGAAAATGTTTGTTAAAATCACAATTCAACCCCAAATTTCTTGTATTTTTCTCACTTTCAGAATCACGTCCCAATATCTTTATAAGAAACATAAATATGATTCTCAGAAAACAATGAATTTAATTTTACTAAAAAAAAGAGTTGTGTAGCTCAAGATATTTATGGTCTTAAACGATATACTAGTGTATTTTCAGTTTAATGAAAGTGGTAATGTTCAAGAATAAATACATTTCAATATATAATGTATGGATTATTCATTCAATCTTTATAATATTCAATAAACTTTACTTTTTGAGTCTTTTAATGTAAAATATATTTTAATTTTTTATTTCATATCTGTGACTTATATCTTACTCTTCAACATCTCTCTCTTAATATTTTTACTTTAGCATTTCTCTCTTCAACATCTTCGCCTTCAAGTTGTTTTTCTTTACCTTAAGATGATATTTTTTCCTAACCTAATTATATTTTTTCTTACCATTTCTAGCCACCTCATTGATAATTGTCCCATCATTTACAATTAAGAGGATAATAATGTATTCCATATAAAGTTCATTAACTTCGTACATGTTGACATCTTCACCAAATTTCAGTACAACTAAATTGATGTTAAGTGTTATTAACCATCAAACAAATAAATACTTTGGATGTCAGTGTTAAAACTATTTGAAGTCAATGTTATGGAATTTTAACAAATATCTATATTATGTAAGGGATATCCAGATTAGACCCAACTCCAATAAGTCTTATTCATTTGGCCATTCACATGTTTTTCAGTTGGATAAATTCGCATAATATGAGCAAGATTTAGAGATACATAAGCTTTAAATTCTTTAAGTAGTACTATAATACGAGACCTAATTAAAAAAAATACAAACTTAAGAAACCCTAAGCTTACGAAGCTTTGTATCCTAGGTTTCTAACATTTAATTTGTCCTAAAATACTTTCATCTTTCACTGAAATCCTTCAGTGATTATGTGAAGTTTCTTTGTTCTCACCATCACGACCAAGTACATGATTCTTCTCCCCATCTATCTCTTTATCTCTTAGTGTCTCTTTCTCTTATGATGTTTTTTGCATGTCATCTGTTTTTCCTTGGTGTAACAAGATGGAACTCAAATTTCTTGTAAATAATATAGTCACTTATATTGAAAAGGACAATTTTTTTTTTTTTAACTTTGATTATTGACGAGGTGAATAATTTGAAGGAATGAATAACACTACTCTAAAATATGTTATTGTTGTTTTATTTTTTTAATCAAACCTTTCTTTTTGGTGAAAGTAACATAACAATATTATTATGGTAATAATGTTATTAATTGTTAAAGAATGACAAAAGATAACTACACACATTTTTTCTCCCATCATGGATACTTAATTGGGAGAGGATAATAATTATCGTACTTATTTCTATAAAAATACGGCATACATATATTTTAGAAAACTAAAGGAAAACATTTTGATATATATTTTCTAAAAAGATTTCTGAGTGTACAAATTTTTCTTATATTTATTATTACAACACGTGACAACGAGATCATAAGTAGGGTTTTCATAATTGACTAAAACTGACCTAAAGCTTATAAATCAAATCCCTTATAATTCTTTTCATGAAGTTCAACACCTTCAATTTGGTTTTCGTTTATCAATTTTATACTAAATCAAACTCATTTTTGATAAAGATATATGCTTATTGTTCTCAATATTATCGAATATTTACCATGACATATATCAATGGCGGTTTTTGGGATTGTCGCAATGGTAAATATCGATAGTTATTGTAGAACTTTTTTAGCATAATCTGCCACCACAATGCCACCAAAAGACCAATATGTTAGGCTTTAAATTAATCTTACCCGTTTGGCCATTCAAGTACATTTTGATTGGATACATTTAATATGGGCAAAGTTTATAGCTGTTGCAAGCTTTAAATTCTTTTAGTAGTACTATAATGTGAGACCTAATTAAAAACTCAAAATAACAATACAAACTTAAGACACACATAACTTTCAAAGTTGTATATCCTAAGTTTTCAACGTACAATTTATTTCTAAACACCAACAACATCTTTCACTCAAATTCATCAGTGATAGTGCAATTTTTCTTAGTTTTCACTAGAATGATGAGGTGCATGATTCTTTTCCCCATCTCTCTCTTTCTCTTTCTCTCTCCCAAATTTCATGCAAATAATATGATCACTTATATTAAAAAAGAAATAGTTAATAACTTTGTTTTTGTTTTGATTATTGACAATGTGAAGAATTTGAAGGAATGAAGTTCACTACGTTAAATCACGCTATTGTTATTATGCATAATGTACTTTCTCTTTGACGATTTAACATTCCATATTTGATGTAGTTAGACATTTTCATCATCTTTTTTATATTAATATTTTATCAATGATTTTATTTTTGCTCTATCTGTGTTTTTTTCTTCATGTTAAATTTACATGTCTTTTTTCATCATTCATTTAGTCAAATCCCATTATTGTGCACATACTTTAGTCTATATACAAAATCATCAACAAATAAATCCAAATATGTACTGGACCACTATATGTAGCACTAAAATAACCGTAGGTTGACAAAATATTCATCTACAAAATCACATTATCAAAATAACATTTTTCTATTAACATGATATCGATATAATAAAGCCATTATATATTAATATAATAATATTATCAATTATAGATTTTGAAAATAAACTATTTTACAACAAACTATTTCACTCAAATACTCATAAAAATAAAGACTAACATAGATATGAGAATCTCTTACAACACCATTGTCCATCGTTAATACAAAAAGTTAAAAGTTAGTTGGATAAATAAAGACTAACATAGATATGAGAATCTCTTACAACACCATTGTCCATCGTTAATACAAAAAGTTAAAAGTTAGTTGGATAAATAAAATCGAACATAAAGAATGAAATCATAAAAAAAATAAAAATAAATCACATGTGTACGATGAATTGTTCAAATAAATACGAAAAAAGAAGAAAAGTTGTATTGTACAATTCAAATTTCTTGATCAAATGCATCAAATATATTTTAGTCATTTTTTAATGAAACATTTTAATAAACTCTTCAATTTCTTACCGTAATATTTATTTATATTTATATATTAATTTAAACAAATGGTGGATAAGTTAAGCAAGATAATTTTGTTCTTTAACAAATTCAACAATTAAAAAAAAAGAAAAAGATAGAGATGTATAAATAACGTGACATAAGATATTTGTGTTTTTATTCTTCACTCATACACTCTTTCTTTCACTACTTTCGAGTCTATCTCTTTCTTTCTCTCTCCTCCCCCCCTCTCTCTCCCTCTCTCTCCCATCACGCAAACAACCGCTTGAACCCTAACCTGTGTATGCGTTTTTGAAAGCTGATACACACACAGTGTATGGTTTCAATTCTTCCTAGGTCATGGCTTCCGATACCGCTTCTCGTTCGAGTTCCGCGGCCGATTCCTACATTGGTTGCTTGATCAGTTTGACGTCCAAGAGTGAGATCAGATACGAGGGCGTTCTCTACAACATCAACACCGATGAATCCAGTATTGGGTTGAAAAATGGTACGGTTTTTGGTTCCTTCGTTCTCGTAGATCTTTCATATGTTGATACAGGCTTTGTTATTTATTCGTTATCATTATTGTTTATTGATCTGGATTTGTTGTTGTTATGGATTTTCTGTTGAAATCTGAAATGGGTCTGGTTATATGTGACTTGGAGTTGTGTTTGGATTTGTAATTTGGTATATCGATGAATGATATCTGTTTATGTTGGTTGTTTGTGTTTTGAATTGTTGCCCGTGAATGTGATTTTTGCTGGATAAATTTTTCTAGGGTTTTGTTTGGTTGTGAGTCTGTTGTTTGTTTATATACATGTTTATCTGGAGGGGCTGGGGTTTGTGGATAATTAATCTTTGGATGAGGTAAGAAATGGCTTGAACTTTTGACTCTTTGGGGTTTCGTGTTGTAAAGATGAAACGGGTTTTGGATTTTTTTTCTTCAGTACCACACTTGCACCATGGTTTTATCTTCATGCATGTGTGTTGTATTGAATGTTGATAATGATTGTGAATTCTTGAAGTTTGTTATCTGCAATATTGAGGGTGTTTTAGGTGGTTTGGAAGCACTTTGATACTCTGTTTAGGTTTTGGGTTTTGATCTGTTATTCTTTCGTTGTGTGATATTCGTGCTGGTTGGTGATTTATGAGTGTGGATCACTCTTTTATTGCCGCGTGTCACTATTTGCTTGATGATCCTTGTTGTGACATTTATGGTTTCTGCTTGATGATATAGCAGTTGCAGGTTCGGTCATGATAATAGGTTTTCAAACTGCTCGTGGGGGTAAAGACCGTTATAATATAACAGTTTGTTACGCCCCATTTTAAATGACTTTTTGTCGTGTTGGCTTTGTCCAAAAGAATTGCAGTAATCATCCAATTTTTTTAACGTATCAATTCTTTTTTATGGAAGTAACGTACCGATGTTATTATCGAAATGATTTAATTAATTGTTAAAGAACGACAGCACGTAACTACACATTTTTTTCCCATTATGGATACTTAATTTCGGCGAGCGTACTTATTTCTATAAAAACGCAGCATGCATATATTTTAGAACACCAAAGAAAGAACTTTTATATATATTTTCTAAAAGGGTGGGCCCAGTGTTCAAAATTTTCCTATATTAATATTTTCAGCACGTGATAACGAGGTCGTAAGTAGGGTTTCGGTGATTGAATAAAACTTACCTAAATCTTAGAAACCAAATCGTTCTGTCTGGTTTTCCTTGCGTGAAGTTCGGCGCTGTCAATTTGGTTTTCATTTGTCAATCTGATACCTAATCAAACTCATTTTTTGATGAAGATCTATGCTTATTGTTCTCAGTGTTCAAAATTTTCCTATATTAATATTTTCAGCACGTGATAACGAGGTCGTAAGTAGGGTTTCGGTGATTGAATAAAACTTACCTAAATCTTAGAAACCAAATCGTTCTGTCTGGTTTTCCTTGCGTGAAGTTCGGCGCTGTCAATTTGGTTTTCATTTGTCAATCTGATACCTAATCAAACTCATTTTTTGATGAAGATCTATGCTTATTGTTCTCAGTGTTATTGAATGTCCGCCACGGCGGATATCAACAACGGGTTTTGGGCTTGCCGCAATGTTAAATAACAGCTGTTCTTGTGTTTTTTTCTGCCATAATTTGCTATGACGGCACCCGAAAGGGGCCGGTATGTCAAGATTTTGGCACTATGCCATCGACGACTACACTGATTGTTCTTCATATGGAATTGTTCAATTTATTGTTTCTAGTAGAACTTCTGGATTAGTTTTGTTAACTGGGCAATTGAAACTGTGAAGTTGGGTTTTTTCTCAAAGGAACACGGCTTGGTGAAACCTGATCAATTTGAATCAAATCTACTGAGATTGGCTCAGTTCTTTGATGAATTGTTTGATTCGTCATTTTTCTGTCAAATCTAAATTACTACTACTTAAGACAAACACCTCTACTCTAATTATATTATTTTCATAATTTTATGTTGCTATACAACTTGTTTCTATCTTTTTTTTTTTGGTTGCTTAGTGGAGTGACTCTTTTTTGTGTGGTTGTGTGGCAGTGCGCTCTTTTGGAACTGAAGGAAGGAAAAAGGACGGTCCACAAATTCTGCCAGGTGACAAGGTCTATGAGTATATACTCTTCCGTGGAACAGACATCAAGGTAGCAATTACGGAACTTATGCCAGCTCCTTTTCAAAATAGCTACTGATCACTTCAGAAAGAATGACATTAATTTCTTTGCAATATATTTTTGGGGAATGCTTAACCCTTGAAGCATTGTAATATTTGGTCACCTCTGCAAGTTTTATGGCATTTATTTATCTTGATCCTTTTCCTAGTATAAGCTTGCAAATCACATCTAATATCTGTAGATATAATAACAGGCAGAAGGTAGCGAATCCAGCTTTACATATATGGATATTGTTATTAAATGATACAAGATGTATTCAATTTATATGCAATTCATGTGAATGCGATAAGCTGAAACATCTTCTATATTTGTTTCTGCAGGATTTACAGGTGAAATCTTCTCCACCTGTCCAGCCTACTGCACCAACAAATACCGACCCAGCTATTATTCAGGTTCATGATAGCCTTTTAGAGTACAAATTTTGCATATAAAATTATTAATATCCTAATTTCTGGAGTTGTCTTGCAGTCTCAGTATCCCCGCTTAGCCACACCATCTACAAGTTTACCAGCTGCAAGTGGATCTTTGACTGATGCCAGTCCTCATACAACACAGCTTGGACACCCAGGGTCAAATTTTCAAGGGCCTTTGTATCAACCTGGAGGAAATGTAGTATCATGGGGAGCTTCTTCGCCTTCTCCAAATGCAAATGGTGGTGGGCTTGCTATGCCAATGTATTGGCAAGGATATTATGGCGCCCCAAATGGGCTTCCTCAGTTACATCAGCAATCTTTGCTGCGACCTCCTCCTGGCTTATCCATGCCTTCATCCATGCAGCAGCCAATGCCTTCATCTATGCAGCAGCCAATGCCTTCCTCTATGCAGCAGCCTATGCCTTCCTCTTTGCAGCAGCCTATGCCTTCATCTTTGCAGCAGCACATGCCTTCATCTTTGCAGCAGCACATGCCTTCATCGATGCAGCAGCCATTGCATTATCCCAATTTTAGCCCTTCTTTGCCAACTGGGCCTTCAAGTTTTCCAGAATTCCCTTCAGCTTTCATCCCTGTGGGTACGAGTTCCCCTAATATAACATCTACTTCTGCACCTCCATCAAATCTTCCAACAACAATTTCACCTCCAGCACCTTTGGCCACACTAACTCCTGAAACTTTTCAAGTATCAGTTCCAAACAAGGCACCAACTGCGTCCCTTCCTGCAGTCACACTAGGTGCTAACTTGTCATCTCTAGCTTCTTTTACCAATGGTGGTCCTGATGTGAGTGCTGCTGTATCAATGGCTAATAAACCTAATGCAATTTCAGCTCCAAGTTTGTCATACCAAACTGTACCCCAGCAGATGGCTCCTTCAATTGTTGGCTCTTCGAATTCTATCCGCACAGAACCACCTGTCCCTTCCCTGGTAACCCCAGCTCAATTATTGCAGTCTGGGCAATCTGTAGTAGCTTCATCCAAGCCTTTGCAAACAGCACATAAGGATGTTGAAGTGGTTCCGGTATCATCTGCTTCACCTCCAGAGCCATCTGTGTCTGTCGCTGCTGAATCCCAGCCACCTATACTTCCTTTGCCAGTGACTTCACGGCCTACTCACAGGGTATTTTTTTCTTGCTTTCTCTTTTTATACATGCCCAGACACTTGCACAAATTTTGGTTTCAAGGTATATAACCTTATATATAACTAGCCAAATGGAGACTGGAGTCCTGTACTTCTTCTGTAAATAGATGTATCATGTTTGTGACTAGGTGCTCACTGTCCATCCTATAAGATAGCCTGCATGTACTTTTCTGATTTTTCTCTGCCCATTTCATTATTTGTTCATTCTTAGAGATTTTAAAGTAGGATTTGGCCTTATTGGTTCATAGTTTAATTGGAAACTGCCATATATTATGCATGAATTGTGGTGATTGATGAACCATTGAGCTTTCACAAGCTTGTTTCTGTTCTTACATTTAGATAATGTTTAACCATGTATACTACCCATACATAGACTGCATGTATGTGTATTTTATCGTTTTAAGTTATCTTTTTTTCATCTTGTCTTTTGATTTTGGACTCATGATCTAACATTCGGTTCCATTTCCTCCAGCCCGGTGGAGCTTCTAGCCAAACTCATGGCTATGGTTACAGGGGACGTGGAAGAGGAAGGGGAATCCAGGTAATGCTTAATTTACTACTAGTACTTTGTTTAAGATGGAGCAGGAAAATTTTAGTTTCTCATAAGTAAGGAAGCTGAGAATTTTTTCAGTTAAAGTTGGCACTCGAGAGTATTTATGGGAGGTGTATGGTTATTTTAAAATATCGGATTACAAAATTGGAATTTACAAATCCTTATACTTATTATTGTCACATTGTGTCAAACGAATGAAATTTGTTTGAAGTATTTATTGTATTGTTTCATGATTTTTATCGAGTTAGCATTTTAGATTAGATAACAAATTAAAAAGAAAATGCAGGATGTATTTTGTCACTAATTTGGTATTTTTTTTATCTAGATAATTTTAAAGACTGATGGAGAATCCAGTTTACTATTGTGTTATTTTAGAATATCGAAATGTGCAAATCCTTATACTTATCATTATGTCATAAGCAGTTAGCATTTTAGATTAGATAACAAATTAAAAAGAAAATGCAGGATGTATTTTGTCACTAATTTGGTATTTTTTTTACCTAGATAATTTTAAAGACGGATGGACAATCCAGTTTACTATTATGTTATTTTAGAATATCGAAATGTGCAAATCCTTATACTTATCATTGTGTCATAAGAATGCAATTTGCTTGAAGTATTTATATTTGTGTTTTTATTGAGTTATCAATCTAGATTAGATAAAAAAAACAAAATGCAGGGTGTATTTTCTGTCACTAGTTTGATTTTCTTACACAGATAATTTTAAGGCTGATGTGACAATCCAGTTTAGGTATTGAAATTATAATTAATGTTTTGCAGGGTTTCCGCCCAGCCGAAAGATTCACTGAGGACTTTGACTTCACAGCAATGAATGAGAAGTTCAAAAAGGATGAAGTATGGGGTCACCTAGGTAAAAGTAACAAGAAAGACGGGGAAGAAAATGCAAGTGATGAAGATGGTGGTCAATATGAAGACGATGGTGATGTATCAAACTTGGAGGTCAAGGTAATTTTTTTAGACTTCTCTGTAACTCAAAGCTGTCAGTTGTTTATGTAAATGTGCTTATGTTGTCACACTATGTGACTGTTCTTCATGGTCTCCACAGCCTGTTTATAACAAGGATGATTTCTTTGACTCACTCTCCTGCAACTCACTCAATAATGATCCCCAAAATGGAAGGATTAGATATTCAGACCAAATCAAGATGGATACCGAGGTAATGTGTTATAACCACCTTGGGTTAACCTCTATCGGGAAAGGTGGCGGGATAATGTTTAATTCCTCTGCTTTTTATTTTTATTTTTTATGATGCAGACATTTGGTGATTTTACGAGGCATCGTGGTGGCTGGGGTGGCCGTGGTCCATGGCGCGGTGGTGGTGGCGGACGTGCTCGAGGTGGTGGTTTTTATGGAAGGGGGTATGGCTATGGTGGTGGAAGAGGAAGAGGTGGTCGTGGCATGTCTGGCGGTCGTTTTTAGATGGATGCCGCAATGCTAAGTTGTGGTGGTAGGGAGGTAAGGAAGAAAAGACAAGCCACCCACTTTAAACGTTTATTGAGGCTATGCTTCAATGTTGTGATTTCTGTTGTTTGTTTGGTTATAGAATAAGTTAGACAGTTTTTTGGGTTATGTGGACACCTATTTGCCCAAAAGAACCTGGTTTTGGTTTGGTGGAAAGAGGGTTTCTCTACCATTTTCTATATTCATACATCTGGAATGCACAAATTCTAGACAAGTTTCTTGCGGTATGTTGTTTATGTATAAGCAATGAGCAAGTTTTCCATTTATGAGACATGTCAAATTGTTTTGCATTGTAAATGCAAGTGACAATTTTAAGACTAAATTATACTTTGATACCTTTGTTGTGTTCAATTTGGTCTAATATTTTGATTGTTTGGAAATGGTTCCATGTTTTACAGTTATATTTATGTGGCCTTATTTCTTGTTATAAAATGATCAGTTATAAAGTGATTTTTGGATTTTATAAGAGTTGTAGTATTATATCTTTCTGGACCACAACCTAAACAAAAACGATCCACTTTGACTTTGGTATAATGTTATAAATGCATTTATATCTAGGAAGTACTAGGCAGACATATCTGTCTTGAGAAAACTTTTTAAAATATTTTTCAATTGCTGTAAACATGAAAGAGTTTGCTCTCTATTATTTGCTAAGGACTAGATTTATTATTTTTGTGTATTAGGCTTCATTCAAGTTGTTACACTGTAACGATTTTGGTTCTTATTCTCCATAAGTTTTGGATGAATTGCCACTACTACATTTTTTTTTAGTATGGAGTTTCTATAGTTTTTTAACAAATAACTTATCATTGTTGGAGAAATTATTGGGAACAAAAGATGTTTTTCTCTTCCAATTGGAAATTATTTATATTTATATTCAAGAGCCAATGATTGAATTTTTTCTTATAATTTGCTTAGATTTTGTTTGTGAGTTTGGAGGGAAAGGGAGGGGGTGGGTTTTGGGAAACGGAGATGACCGAGTGAAAAGAATAGAAAGATTGAGATTGTTTCGGAGGGGTTTTGAGATTTTGGAGGGTTTTGACAAATTATTTAAATATAAATAGCGTATTAAAAATTAAAATGCGTTAACAATATATATTTTTATTATTTTATACAGTTTATTTAAATTGTTAATTTTTTTTATATATATTTTAAAAGAATCATTTTTTGAAGCTCTTTTCTTAAATTTTTAAACAAAGTTTTAATTTTTTTCTTCTAATCATGTTTGATGGAATGGAGTGACAATTAATAAAACACAAAAGTATATTTTATCTCATTTTATCTAACATTTAAGTTTTCTCAAATTGAAGGTATGTAGTAGAACAAAGTTTAATAGTAAAAATATTTAATAATATAACGAAGTCTCTGTTTTGTTCTACTCTTACATTATATTCTTTTATGTTCTTTTCATTCTTACATTATATTATACTTTTTTTTTATCATTTCACTCTTACTTTACATTACACTATTTCTTTAGGTTTGAGATACAAAATTGATTTTGGAGTGATTTAAGGTGTTTATTTTTTTAAATAAAATTGATTCTGTTTTTAAAATTATAATTTGTAGTTTTTAACTTTCAATATATAAATTCAATTCATTTTTATATAAATATATCTGACATAAATCAATTTTGATAAACTCAAATTTATTAAAATTATTTTTTTTAACAAATTTAATTTTATCAAAATTAACACACTACATTAAATTTTTTAAGATTTTATTATGCTCTCTTGTGACACATTAATCCAAACATAACCATCCAAAATTCTTTATCATTAGTTCAATTGGTTTATTTCACCATACTAGCAATCAAATTCTTTTAAGGTTCTAGAATGAACAACTGACAGTGACCTTTCATTATTTATTAATATTGTCAGTGTTTATATGAATATTTAATTGTTAGTAAATGCTAAATGACAATAAATTTAAAAAATATATTTTTTTATATATGTTTTTCTGCCTATCCAATATGAATATTTTGTTATATATTGTGGTAGTTATCAATCAGTTATCTATGAACTGTTATTTTTGATAGCCTAGTTAGGGTTATCTTACCCAATAAATTATCTAAATGAATGTTACCAATGATGGATATTTGTAATTGGTGCAATATTATCTATGTCAGTAGAGTTGACATTCACGAGAAATTTCTTCCCTCTAATGATGTTTTAGACATTTGTTTCAGTACATGTTTTTAGTTCACATTGTTAATATTATGATTTTAGGATTGACACAATTTTATTAAAATATAATTTGTAATATGATATTTTAGAAGGTATTCTAACATGCTGGTTAGGAGGTAGATATTCTTATAGATGTTGTAATATCCTGTATAAGAACATCAATATAAGTTGCATTGTTTTGTTGACATATTTAAATTAATTATGTGAGATTCTTTTTTAATTTTATCTCAATGATTTTTAACAAGTAAAAAATTTTCAATCTAGAACAATTGATTTATCTCTAGTCGTACACAGGTTGCTAAAATTGGCTTTGAGACAATTTAGGAAATCTTATATTTTGTTTCAAGATTTAAGGAGATATTTCTACACAAATTGGTGCAGCTCTCAGCGTGTGCAACAAAGAATATATGAGGAAGATTCAAGGCCCAAGGATTGCTGAAGAGTATTTAAAAAAACTAACTAGACCTAAATTCATTAAGAACTTTGTAAAAATAAGGGGAAATCGAGTTTTCTTAGTCTTAGATTTTGAGGGTTCTTCAAGGAGTTTCTGTTTTCTTTGTACGTCCTCATGTATCTTTTGATGCATTTGAGTTGACTGATTGTTACTTGACAGTTTGTCAAGTTATTGTCTCATTCTTAAAGCTTTTAAACAAAAGAGTTTGAGCTTTTCTAATTGAAGTGCGATCTTCAGTTGTAGTTCTAGTCATAGGAATTGTGGCTGTAGTTTCTAGTCACTGGGATTGAAGCTGTATATATCACTGCGGTGATTGAAAGTGAGATGAAGATTTCTCATATCTAAGAGGTGCATAATTAGAAGTTACACTGGGTAGGGATTAAGTGATAAGTTGTAAACTGAGATTATTTAGGCTTAAAATTAATACTACTGATAGTGGATTTTCTTTCTGACTTGGTAATTTTCAGAGTAGGTGAGTTGCACCGAACTGGGTTAATAATTTCTTGTGTTCTTTTACCTTCTGCATTTAAATTATGCATCGTTTACAATTTGGTAAAAGTATTATTTTTCTATCAGCAGATGTTATAACATCTGTCGTAATATTGTGTGTTGTTAAGATATCAGTCTTGACTTCTATTATTGTGTGTGTGCCAGAATTTCAATTAGCATCAGAGCAGATACTCTGTTATATTTTTATTGGGTGAGCTCCATGAAAAATATCTTCTGGCACTATGGAGAAAGAATGAGAATACAATAACAGACCATCGATGCTAGATGGGTCAAATTATGATTGGTGAAAGGTTAGAATGATGGCTTTTCTAAAAGCCATGAATAACAAAGTCTAGAAGGCTATCTTAAAACGGTGGGGACCATCCTGTTGTGAAAGATAAAGATGTAAATGTGTCTTTAAAGTCAGAAGAAGATTGATATGAAAATGATGATAAATTAGCAGTTGGAAATTCTAAGGCTTTGAATGCTCTTTTTAATGGAGTAGACAAAAATATCTTTAGATTGATTAATAGTTACACCATAACCAAGGATGCATGGGAAACTCTCAGGACAACTCAAGGAGGTACTTCCAAAGTGAAGATGTTAAGACTTCAATTTATCATAACTAAATTTGAGAATCTGAGGATGAAGGAGGATGAAACCATCCAGGAATATCAGATGAGGATTCTAGAAATCGCTAATGCCTCAAGTTTCTTGGGAGAAAAGATGTCTGAACAAAAGCTTGTCAGAAAGATTCTTAGGTCCTTACCTAGAAAATTTGACATGAAGATAATAGCAATTGAAGAAGCTCAAGACATCAGAACCATGAGAGTTAATGAATTTATTGGGTCTCTTTAAACTTTTGAGTTGGTTATTGTGACAAGTCTGAAAAAAGAAACAAGAGCATAACCCTTATATCAAATACTGATTTGAACATGGATAAAGTTTTGTAAAATGTTGTTGTTTTACTTGGGAGACAACTCAATCATTTTCTAGAAAAAATGAACCGAAAGAAAAGATCAGATATCAATGACATCTCATCCGACATCAACAGAGGTCATAAGCCTCAGAAGGACAACAAAGCTGAGAACACATTCAGCCAAAATAAGATGGTTCAATGTAATGAGTGTGAAGGTTTTGGATATATTAGAACAAAATTCCCAACATATATCAAAAACCATCAAAAAGGAATGTCTTTCTCTTGAGATAAGGAGGTTCCAGACCTAGGAACTACCAAACAAGTTGAAGCCTTCTCAGGAAGATGCAATTCCTCCAAAAATTGGCTGAGAAGGATCTTTTTACATAATTAACTAGCCTTAAAAATAAAGTATATTTTCTGACATCCAAACTTGAAGACTTAACCAAGTCTACTAGAATGATTCAACCCAGAAGAAGTACTGAAAGGACCTCAAAAGAAAAGTTTGATCATTCAAAAAAGAATATCAGGATGCCTGGAAGGAAGTTTCAATATTGTGTAAGACATTTAAAGTCTTGTATAAAATCTAACCGTCAATCCAGGAGATGTCACCATTGTAGGAAATATGGCCACATAAGACCTTTTTGTTACAGGCTGTATGAGTGTTCTAATAATAATACCTATTCTAAAGGTCATCAAGTGAATAAGGCTAAAGGGAAGGTAAGGTCTAAACCATATCTTAGTGTTCATTTTTATCTCATTTCATCATCAAAAATAGAAGGTAAATTTGATAGTGGGTGCTCAATACACAAGAAAGATCCAAGAACAAATGAGAATCTTCATGTTTTGACACAATTGAAGATCCCTAACTCCTACTTAACATTCAATGGAAAAGTCAGTGGTGAGATTCAAGTTG